AAATTAAAATCAAACATGATAGCTTAGAGCTGGCACTTTATCTTTACTTTATCAAATAAAGTAAAGTATTCGAACTTTACTTTACTTAATCGGATAACGTAAAGGTAAATACTTTACTTTATCGGATAAAGTAATGTTAAATACTTTACTTTATCAGATAAAATATAGTTAAATACTTTACTTTACCCGTTAAAGTAAAGTTAAATACTTTACCCAAAAAGTAAAATAGGGTGAAAAAAATGAAGTTGTATGTTTTAAACTTTTTAGCACTTTCTTAGTTCAGGATAATATGTAAACAATCTTAGAATGTAGCAAAGTTTATTCAATATCATTCCGTCTTAAAATTAGTGTGAAAAAATAATAAGTAAAGCCGAAAAATGTCGATTTTTTATGAATACATGAAAAATATTGTTTGCTTAACTTTATTTCACTTTATTTTCCGCATTCAAACTATAGTCTTTTACTTTACTCCACTTTACTTTACTTTACTTTGACAAAGTAAAATAAAGATAATGTGCCATCCCTATGGTAGCTCGAATTAGATCATAAGTGAAACTAACATTGAAATTAGAATTCGAATCCAAATTCAAATCGATACTTTTCTGTGAGTGGAGAAAGAGCAAAATTTGTTTTTATTGATTATTCGAATTCAAATTCAAACTAACTATTTTTCTTTTTTCTAAACTGGCAGGAGAGTGTCGATTGGAATTCGAATTCGAATCGCAATGTTAGTTATATTTACATTCGAACTCAAACAAGACAGTTAGTCGAAACTGCATACTGAATAAGTCAAAAATCGCGAAACGGAGAAATAATAGCGATGAATCTATTGTGCATGAAGGAATAAGGCAAATGAAAACCTAATAAATATGGTAGCATCACAAAATCACAAGCAGACATATTTGCTTATCAGCTCGGTTTTCAGACCGTATGTCATCCAAGAAAAAATACGCTAGTTCCTATTTTTTTAAAAGTTCTGTTAGTTTCAGCAATCTCTAATTGTCACATAGATCAAACTTGAGATATTGCTGATTATTATCAACGAGTGATAATTTAGAAAAAGAGGAAGCTTGAACTGTGATCTTTTACTCGATCGGTGGCAGCGGCGGCGGCGAAAAATCGGCGACTACCACCTCTACCTACAACATATATGTATCTTTTTCTTTCGCCTGTTTTATGTGCATATCATTGAAAAAAATGGGAAGAAAATGTTTTAGAGAATGTGTCATCGATAATGAAAAAAAAATAACAGCTTTTTATTCTTTATTAATGCTCCTTTACAGATGATTTTTGTGATTTTCTTGACTTTTTTTGACTTAAAATGACTCAATTGACTTACTTGAGTTAACATGATTTTAAAGTAACTTGAATTAGTCGTTTCTCTCTTGATCATTCGCATCTACATTCGTTAAAAAAAAATAAAACAGTTCTCTTCTCTGATTTTTGGTTGTTGCAAAATGTGACATTTGACCAAATTGATGAAGTTGATTTTAGAGAAAAAAATCTAGATTAAAATTCTGCTATGTTTTGAGTTATCTGCGAATATATTCGGTGTAAATGTTGAGATTTAGCAATAAGTACCTGATTAAAACTATATGTTTTAAATTCAAATACATCAAAATTTATGAATATCATACATATTTTGCTTGAAAGTGAACTCTTCGGATAAAAATCGCCAAAAACGAGCCCATTTTACAAGGTTTCATCACTAGTTTCGAAAAAAAAATAGATTTCCTAAGAAACAGAAAAGTATTAAAAAATCTTACTTAACTTTTTTCTAGGCACTAGGATGCTTACAACGGCATGAAAAGAGTGGCTTACCTTTTAACCTGAAAGTGAAAAGAGTTGATCCTTTTACAGGTCATGGTAGTACTATTTCATAGAGGTCACTTGACTTCAAAATATTACATATTCACATACTTAACCACTTTTTTAATGATATTTAAAATTCTGTCTTCTGTCAAAATTTCCTTTGATTTTTGCTTGTAACAAATTCGTAGACCAAATTTTTCTACGCAACTAGATCTGTTCTTTTCCCTCGTGAGAAGAAAAAATGGAAAAAACAATTGCGGAAATTTTGCCTTGCAAGTATCTCACGTTAATGAAGTTTACATATATTTTTATGATAACTCTCGTTCAAGAAGATAAATTGAGTTGAAAATCTTTTGATAAATATATCTCGTTTGATTCTACTAATAGCTCAAGTTTCATTGAATTCAGACAACTTTTTGAAGAACGACAGTATTCTTTCAAAGAATTGTACTTTTTCTTGACACATCCTAAAATAATCGTCCTGATGCACTCAATAGTTGTCATCCGTTCTGATGGTGCACACCATAGAAAGATTTTTAATATATAATACCTTTTTTCTTTCCTTGTGTCACATTTCGATCGAGCATGGTAATCACCGTCGTATAAGTCACTAAATTCTTTACACTTGAGGCTCGCCTACTATTCATTGTATAAAAACCTTTGAGAGTGTCAGCTTCGCATCTTCTTGCCATCGTTAGATTGATTTAGATGAATATTATGAAAATAGTCCTCATATGTATACAATATGTTATGTTCCACCATATTTTTTAAGATTTGTTTTTTTCTAATAGTTTTGCTTTTGTTAAAATCCACAAACTTGAATTGTCATCAATCTGACAGTAGTGTTAAACTTGAAATTAAATTCAATTGAACAGCTACCACTCAAGTTTCAAGTTTCGACTTTCAATTGTCGTTTATTTTTTGCAGTACCGACATCGACAGAGATGCAATGTGTGCGTTCTTCTGTGGCATCCACATCGAGAGGATGACAACATTTATTTAAAATTTGAAAGTTGAAGCTTGAAACTTTACACCTGAAATTTGAAACTTTAAATTCAAGTTTTCGAGTTTCAAGTTTGGCATATATGCTATTTTGTTGTTTTCACATTGATTTATGGTCGAATTTCATCGTATACAGCTGTAAAATAATCTGTTAAATATCATAAAATAACCTTATCGCGTCTTGTCAAACTCTATACGATCATAAACAACAATTGTGCACAGTGGTTGGAAAACGACAGCTGGTATTTTTATCATATCTCATCAGAACAGGATGGTTTATTGTTGTCAAATTTGCATCTTAGTATGTACGATAGACGGTAGATTATGTCGTTTTAAAGACGACCCGTTTCATGAAGACAAATCGAGCTGTAAATTTCGAAAGGTCTTATTTCATAGGAGTATAGTCGTGAATCAAGGAAATTTCTCTACAGCATTCTTTAGTTGAAGATAGATTCAGAATCGGACTCAACGGGCTCTACCTACTACTTACGATCTCGTCGTTACGCCATTACATTGCAACTTTGGACGTCAAAGAAGTTGCGAGCCTTATGAGTGTGCGATAGTAATATCTTCAGTCATGAAAACAAATTCTGTCAATGAAGTTCAATCCAATGTTTCGTCAATATCTCAAATTTTATTTCTACCTGTGACTAAGACATCGACTCTGCTACAATCCTGAAATTATAGCGGCTCTCCTGCTGAACATGTATTATCATACAGTATCATGTACTCTCTCAAATATTTGGATTTCTTTCAAGTAATTTCTAAATTGCAAGTGCAAAGTAATGAATCAATCACTTCCAATGTATATTTTAAAGTTCAGTCCACCATTTATCTAGTGCTCAGTACGCTATTACTTACATATTAGAATTAGGTGAGAAAAGAGAGCACCAAATGGAACCGACTAATATTAAGACGAACTGATATCTGACATATCTGATCCGGTGAAATATCGTCGGAAGAAATTAGCAGATTTTAACGTCAAAATTTGATGATAGTCAAAGTAGAAAATTTAAAACAGGCAAGAAAGCGTTTTCCATGGTTTAATTATTTTCGAATAAAGACTAGGCACATTTAATGAGTGTTGATGTCTGATGCAAAGACAGGTTACTGTTAGTTGAATAGTCTTTGATGAAAACTGTATAAAGACTATCAATGAGTTTAAGCTGTTGGAAGACAGTTCGAAAACAATTTCTGGAGATTTCTTCTAGTCAATACTAACGCTGAGCTTTCTGAAATGAATGATCTATGACAAGGAACGTGAGTTTTGATATCGTGAATGATGGTTGTTCCTCGTTTATTGATAAGCACCGCAGTACGGTTGAATAAAAATTGACCTCTTACTATCATTTGTATTGATGACAGTGAAAGATCAGACAATTGCAAAACCAAGAGTGAAATATCACAGCAAACAAAAATCATGAAGTAGAATGTCAATTATAAACCATTTTAGATAAAAGTTATTCTCAATGAAAATGTATTGAGTTCAAACGTTCATTCATCATCAATCATCACACCATTAGACACGCTTTCATTTCGATATTACGAGAACATTTTATTCGTGTTTTTAGAGTATCCATATAATGAAAGTAGCAGGTAAGGAAGAAAACTATTTTTTCGTTCTAACTTTGTTTTAGTGAATTAAGTGGATCGACCTCGTCTTTTCACCAAAGACGGACATCTCAATTTTAAAAGGTAGATAAATATTTTTCTGACTTGTACTAATCTTTTTCAATAGAAAGATCAATGTTAAACGACGTTGTTGTCGATATTTAAATGATTATTTTACAACACTGTTGGGTTTTCATTGGCGTTGGATTTTTATATTGCTAACGTTGACATTTGCTCTCTCTTGGTTACTATTCGCCGCTATTTGGTTCATAATAATGAAAGTTCACGGTGACTTCGAACTAAGTGATCGAACACCATGTGTAGTTGGAGTAACAACCTTTGTAGGATGTATACTTTTCTCGATAGAGACCCAACAGACGATTGGATATGGAACCCGATCTGTAACTGAACAGTGCACAAGTGGTCTTATTACTGTGATGATTCAAACATGGTTTGGTCTCATCATTCAATCGCTCTGGGCTGGTACCATTTATGCGAAATTGGCTCGTCCGAGGAGGCGTCGTCATACATTGATCTGGTCCCGTCAAGCTGTCATTGGTCTCCGAAACAATCATATGACTCTTCAAGTTCGTCTTGGCGATATCCAACATCATTCTAATATACTCGAAGCTCATGTTCGAATGTATTTCATTTCCAAATGTAGTACTCAAGGAAACGAAATTATTCCTCTGAACTTGATCGATATGAATGTTGGCTTTAGTAGTGGTCAAGATCGTCTCTTACTTGTTTGGCCTATCATTATCGAACATCGCATCGATCCAAAAAGTCCACTTTGGTTAATGGATAAAAAAGCTTTAGCAAAAGCTGATTTCGAATTGTTAGTTGTCTTCGAAGGTATAGTTGAACCAACAGGACTGCTAACACAAACAAAAACTTCTTACACGTCACAAGATATCGTATGGGGAGCAAGATTTGAAGAAATTGTTTATTATGATTCACTTACTGGATTAACGGTCGATTATTCGAAATTCAATTCGATTATCTTAGATAATAACATTGGACCGATTTCAGCTATTCAACTGAATACACAATATTCCGAAGACTAAATTTCAATAGTTTCACTTGTGTCATTACCAAAATTCATTTCACGTCTGTTTTATGACTTATCAGATAGAATTTTAAAATGATTGTTCCTCTTTGTGTAATTTTCTATTCCTAATAAGTTTATTACGATATATTTTGAGAGACTCAAATGATGACTGATGAGATGGATCCTATCAATTGATAGTTGCTCGTCTTCAATGTCATTGGATTAATCAATCTTTCAGTTGAGTAATTTAGTTCTTGATTTCAGTTCTAACCGAATCCAAGCAAACATCGTTCATCCAAAGTATCATATTCTATCATAAGTGGCAAACCGATTTGACATATTAATGACATGAATATTTTTACTGATTATCTACTAGACTCGAAAGAGATGAATTATTCTTTTATCTTTAAAATCTATGTATGCAATTCCCATTTGTTCATTTGGTTGAAGGTCGAATTCGGTTCAAACTGTAGAAATAATGTACGAAGAACGTTCATATAAGGAAATACGCATTGAGATATTCGCCACAGTCGGATTACTGATTCCCCGTTTGGAAACCCATACACTCACATCTACACCCACATCCACAAACATGAATAACAAGCCAATCGTAAATGCTCCACATAAGAGTAAATCAAGAGCAACGACAAATGCAGAACCAATTGTACATTCTTTACTCTAGAGATCATCAAACATTAGCGTTGAAATGAGAGAAATAATAAGATAATTATTGTATCTTACCCATATACAATATACTGACTCCAAGATAATTTTAAGGACGAAGAGCGTGAATACACTTATAAATTGATTCGCAGTCATAATTACGTAGTTTTGAAATTTTCTCCAAGGACGCTATCAATTCAAAAAAGAGAATTGAATAAATTTTGTACAAGTAAATAATAGTAAAACAAGTCTTTTACTAGATACATAGAAAAGAAAATTTACACAAATATGTGCACCTTTTTTATTTGAAAAATATTGAAACTTATTTTCTGTTGGAATAACAACAGATATAAAGAAAACTATTTCTATAATTTTTTTTTACCTAAAATAATATGTTAAATATTATGTAGTGGAAGATGTTTCAAATCAAATCAGGATGACCATATTCATCAAAATGATAAATGAGCATTCTTGTAACAGTAAAGTTTTAGGCATAAACCACTAGACTATTGTGAATTTCAATCTAAGCAAAGTTTGCGTATGTATTGTTTCATTGCTATTCGTTTAAAAGTATACGAAACTCTTAATTTACCGACAGGAAGTTATCCAGATTACTTATAAAACGTCGTACCAATACGGAGCTCTATATTCATTTTATGTTAAAATTAATACTTGCGTAGATCTTTGATCGAAAAGAATTTAAAAAAAAACCATTCGTTGATTAGTTTTAAAAATATTTCAAGCGACATTTAGATAATAAAACTACTCTTAACAATGTTAACTTCTTCTTTTCTCAATGCACGAATTAAATATTAAAAAAATTCAATACAATGAAAGTTTACTTCTGCGTTTGAGCGTGTTACGTGAAAAAACCACTAAAAATGAAACTGTGTAAGACATATAGTCATTTTCTTTTTATAATTCAGGTCAATGATTCGAGTACCTGAGCCCGTGGGTGTCCGGCAGGAACCTGCAGGAAAGACATTGTTTCTGGCTGAAAAACCCCAAAGAATGGTAAGAACTTGGAATCAAAATTCGGTGATTGTATCAGGTTGCCGGCTCTATCCAGTTCCGATCAGGTCTGCATAAATTCGTTCATCGGATTCCTGCTTTCAACTTCTTACCATTTTCCGTCTGAAAACAGCGTCTTTCTTGTAGGTTCCCGTCAGAAATTCGTGGATCCGAGCGCTGGAACCATTGACCTGAGTATATATAAATAGAAAACCTATCTGTTTGTGTAGTTAAAAAAGTTATCATTGTTTGTGAACGTTAATAGATAATCAAGATTCATTACGAATAATATTAAAAGCATTTTGTGAAGCAATTAAATGTTCATATATTTGTTTCTGAATATGAATAGTTGATCAACTAATTTCAATCTTAATGTTTCTGAATTACATAAGTTTAAATGATCATTTCTATATTTTGATAAAGGTGAAGCATTGATTTGATCATCATTAATACGTCCTAATAAGACAGAAGAAAAACAACGACTTCGTTACTTGAAAAAAATAAAAAGCCTTTCATCAGAAAAAATGAATTAATTAATTATATAATTCATTTGTTCGATTCAACAAGTAAATTTCTATTTAGATTAAAAATACTTTTATAAGAGAAATGTCTATCATGACTGAAAACCTACTGTGGTGACAGGAAAGAATTACTTCCTCATCGCGATAGTATTCAGCAAGATGGTTCGAACTTCACGGCTGCTGCTGCATTCAACTAGTACTATTGTTATTAATTCGCAATATTCATCGAATCTCAGAGTCTTAAATTTGTAAACACTAAAATTTCCTGCAAATTCATCCATTTTAGCAATATTCTCCAGAAAAAAATCAGTCGCTGCAATAGACATCTATGTTTTATAATGATGAAATCAAATACATTTGATTAGATATTAAAAAATCTTATTTGATCAAACGTATATTGAGATCCAAATAGAGATAAACTAGATTTACTAATGATATTTTTTGAAGTGAAGTTTATTTTGTTTTTCATTTACACTATAAACAACAACATAAGATCATAGTTATGTATTAATTTGAGAAGAAACATGTCGAATTAATCGATCAATTTCAATAACATCAGGATGTTCTATTGGTAATATTTGTTGAAATATATTTGCTGCTTTATTATAAAATTCTAATGCTTGTATTAGATTCTTTTTTATTTCATATGTAATACCAATATTTTTACAAATTGATGCAATTGATGGATGTTGAGGAAAAAGTGATTTTTCATAAATTTCTAATGAATGATTAAAATAATTTAATGCAAGATCATAATGACCAAGATAACGATGAACAGCACCAATATTATTATATATATCACCTATATCAAAATGTTCATTTGGAAGATATTTTAAACGAATTATTAAAGCTTTTTCATAATATTTTAATGCATCTTCATATTTTTGTTCATCATCATAAACAATACCTATATTATTAAAACACATCGCGACTTTTAAATCATCTTTACCATAGAATTCAATCGAAATTTTGAATGCTTTATTATATGATTCAATAGCTTGTTTTTTGTTTCCTTTTTTCCAATGAATTATAGCAATATTGTTATGACTATAGGCAAGACTACGAGCATTTGATTCTAATTTTTTCATTTTAATTTCTAACGATTTTAAATAATATTCAAGACTTAAATCATAATTTCCTTTATCTAAAGTAATATTTCCAAGTAAATGATAACATTGTGCTTGACTTTGATAATCATATTGTTGTTGTTGATTAAGAAATTTTCGATAATAGTTTTCGGCTTCATTAAATTTTCCCATTTGTCTTAATACACAACCAAATGAAAGAAGACCTGTTTCTTCATCACTATATTCATTTTTTATATAATCAAATATTGGTTTTAATTTATGATTATAATCACTACATAATATCATATTTATTATCCATAGATGATTATTTTTATTATAATGAATATTATTTATTT